TTTAAAATCAATCATCATTTTCTTACAAAAAGTTTGTAACAAGCAGCAAGACATGGGTAATTTGGCTAGTATAATATATAATCTATTGTTGTTATGTGAAATATAATAATGAAAAACTTTCAATAATATACAGTGTTAAGTATTTTCATTCTATGATTTACTCATTCTGTGACATAATAATTGTTAGATTTAGTGTATGAAATTTGCTTTCAAATGCTAGGTATTATGACACAAGGTTGATATTAATGTGTTAATAATTGTTAATGTTCAACATTTTTATTTTTTTTCTGCAGCTTGTTTTTGTAATATTTTGTCATTAAATGTTTAAATATTCAAAATCATTATTTAGGTGTTTCAAAAATCTCTTTATTTAGGCAATTTTTAAATCTCTATAATTAATTATTTTTTTAACAACTAAAATGGATATCACATGTAATCCAAAGAGAAAATAAGAACCATGATTTAGATGTTGACATTTCACACTACTTCAAAAAAAAAAAAGGTTAGGAAGGAATCTCCCATCAATACTGGAAAGAGTGACAACAGCTACTGGACTTGAGAAACCTATTTTTCTGAAAATTGTTTTAAGAGAAAGATTTTATAAATTTCAATCAATATTGGCACTGGCTGCTCAGTCAATGAATGCCACATGTTTCCTTATAAGGAAATGGCTAATATTACTATTACTTTATATATAGTTTCATAATTAGTACTAAGACAATGACATGTTGTTGCTAACTCATAATATAAATTACTTTTTAGGAACAGATGTGTGACTCTATATTATCAACATTTTTCTCAGCAAAACTTGATCAATACATTACCCAAGTGCTTGTGATAAGAATTTTTGAAAAGATAAGGATTTTTCCTTTCTTTTTCTTTTTTTCCAAAGAAAATTTAAGAAATGTACAATTTAATAAAATGATATCCTGAAAGTTTGAATGCAAAATCTATGAAAGAAACACATACCAATAAATAATGCTTTTTGTTAGTGATTTCTACACTTCTCTTAATATGCTTGAGTTTTGTTTGCCCGAGATGTCTATCACAAATATTTTAGGTATTCTAATCTTCAAATTCTGCTTATTTGGGGGATGAGGGAAATATGGCAATAAAACCGCTCTGCTTATCTTGGAGAAATATGTGAACATACAGTAACATTTATTTTTTAATCATATCACCCATTCAAGGCAGTAAATTCACTAAGTCAAAACTATAAATGCAAAGTCAAAAGTCTGAACAATATACATAATATAATTTATTAAGAAATGGACAAGGTCCGACAATTTATTTATTAAAGACATTTTATTATGTTTAACGTTGTTATTTTATAGATACAAGTATTTAAGCAAATGCTCTGTTTATGATAAACAGTATTAAATAACATTTACCGGCCTGAAAATTTCTCAGACATTCAGGCCGGTAAATGTTATTTAATACTGTTTATCATAAACAGAGCATTTGCTTAAATACTTGTATCTATAAAATAACAACGTTAAACATAATAAAATGTCTTTAATAAATAATATAATTTATTCAATAAAATCACCATAGGCTTCAGCCATGGCCTCGAGATGACCTCAGAATCTCCTGCAGGCTCTCCTTGTTTAAGTTTGTGAATGCTGCCATAACCTTGCCTTCAGCTCATATTTGGTATTCCAAGGAGTTTTTTGGTTTCTTGTTCAACTGCACCCCATGCATAATAATTAAGGGAGTTGCAGGTTGAGAATTTAGGTGGTCAGATTTAAGGGTAGATGTGGTTGCAGAAATTGTCTGTCAGACATGATGGGTTTTCCTGCTTGTGTGGCATGGTACAGAATCCTGTTGCCAGTAGCCACCCTCTTGACACTCCTCAAGGCATTGGATGTAGGCCTCTGTGTTGAGTCTGAGGCCCTCCCCAACAAATTCAGGTGTTCTTTTCTTATCAGAAGGATCAGAGTGAGTTTTCTGATCTGCTGTACCTCTGTAATCATCATTAGATTCATCCAACTCTTTCTAAATCCTTTGCGCTGTCCTCAGATTGACACTCAGACACTCTGAAATGTTTGTATTGACACACAACAATCTGAAATGTTTGTATTGGAGCTTCTGGTGTGAATGCTAAGCAGTACAGCATGCCATTTTCAAATTTCTGGTGGAGTGAATTGCATCATGGTGCTCTTTTTTTCACAGACAATGCCCAACTGACCCTACTATACTGTGCAGTCAACAAAATCAAAAACAAACAACATGCATGAGCAAAATAAAAAAAAAAAATAATTTATCCATCACACCTTGTCTGTGTATGTATGTGTGTGTGTGTGTGTGTGTGTATATATATATATATATATATATATATACACACACACACACACAATTTTTCTATGATCCTAGGCAGAATTGCCAGGGACTGACACTTTAAACCTAGACAGCATACAGATACTATGATTCTAGACTGCAGTAGTTTTGATCCACGATAAATAATCCTATATTTCTTTTATGGAATTATATATATATATATATATATATAATTTTGTTCACCCAAAATCTTATAATCTAAATACAAATGATAAAGCAATTTGGATGCAATATTTAATCTACATTTTTTTGTCACAGATGAAATTTATTCCAAGTTTTAAAAGAATAACTGTTTTTGTTTTTTTTTTACAGAGGGTTGTTGGGTCGATCTGTTTTTGAAAAAAACATTTCACAAACTTGACTAAATTATGAATGTTAATTAAAATTAACTGAATATTCTTTTTATTTAAAGAGCTGATTGCTTAAAAAACAAGCTCATCTTGAACTTTTATTTTTTATTTTGTCTGTTGAAAGAGAGAAAAATCTTGATCTCTCTCTTCTCTCTCTTGCTGCATATTGCTTTCTGTTCTTTTACATTATAATCATTATTTCTGGCATCATTTCAAAAATTTAAAAAAAGGAATGAAGTAGCAGGTCTTGTGCTTCTGATATTGTTCTTATGGAACTGGACTTTTGCCGAATTCTTGAGAAAATCTTGAAAGACGTTCTTGAGAATGTCAGGACTGTGGCCCAAAATGAATTCATCTTTCACCCTCTTCTGTTTTTTTTCTTTTTATATTCTTCATCTTTACTGACTATTATTCGGCTCTATGCTTTGTGAGAATTTAAAATAGTATAAATAGTAAAATTGATATTATAAAAAAAAACTCAAAGTTTACCCAATATTGAAAACAGAATTAAATCCCTTTCTCATATTGTTAACACATAGTTTGAGTTGTTCCTTTCTTTCAAGTGTATTCTTTGAAGAAAAAAAGAAACTTCTTTCTTTTCTTTCTGTTACCATTTTTTGTGTTGTTTTTTCCTTTAAGAAATTTCTTTTTTTTTCTTATGGAATGCACCTGACAAAAGTCAAAAGATTTTCTTAACAACAGTACAAAATGTTTCAATTGTTCAAACAATAATAATGTTAATAACTTATTTCATCGTAAAAGACAACTTGAAAACTTAAGAGTTCTAATTTCATTTTAATTATATTTTTTAATTTATTAATTGGTCTATTATTTCTGTTAACATTTATTTTCCTATAATGTAAAATATGAGTAAACAGAAATAAAATATAACTATCTTGACTAAAATATATAAAGTTTAATATTCCCCCCCAAACCATTTTGATCTTATTGCGAACAGTAGTTCTTTCATTTTTGTAGATGCTAACTAAAAGACATACATAACCATTCTTTTAGTTGTTGTTACATATCTCTGATTGTGACTGCATTGTAACATAAAATTTTGACACAGCAAACTAGTTTTGTTGTTGCAGTGGCATTTATATGATATAAATTTATCAACATCTCCTCAAAACATAAACATAACATAATGGTTATCTGTTATTAACTCTGATACATTTATTTTGTACTTATGCCCTTGGGAAAGGCATAAATCAATTTCTCCCTTTCCAGCTTAGTTAAGCTCTACTGGGGTTAACTACGTACATGTGGGTTTCAAGCCCAGTTAAATGTCCTGAGTATGATGATGAACTACATCTGGCAGCAAGGCCTGTGATCAGGAAAGTGGATGTTTTGAGGAGCATGGAACCAGCTCTTAATTGCTGTTGTTCCCAGGTGTCCCCTGACCTGGGGTGGTAGCACCTGTTAGGGTCCCAGCTATGGGCAAATAGTTAACCCTCAAACTGGGGTTAAAAAATAATGAAAGTATAAAAATACATTTTTACAGTAAAAATTACCAGCAATACATTTTTGTAAATGAAATTACTAATGCTCCAAAGAAAATTTAATTTTGGCATTAAATGACCCATAAGGAGTTGATATGCCACTAAACAAACAAACAAAAGATCAAGCCCATTTAAGTACACATGGGTTTTATATAGGGTAGTTGGAATTAAGGGGATAGCTGGATTTTTTTTTTTTTTTTTAATTTTTAGAAATGAAATGCTTTGTACTAGAATGCATTAAAGGATAAGAGGAAATTTCTTGTAGGGGGTGTTGGAATAAGTTTGTCCCAGTTAGGTTTTTCTCTCAAGAATAATAATTATACTTCCTGTTTATTTGAAATTCATATATAGCAGGACAAATTGAGCTCTTTAACCTTGGATGACAACCATTCTATGACAATTTTGAATTCAGATGGTGAAAGCAAAAAAAAAAAAAACAAAAAAAAACAACTTTATTACTTTTCCCTAGAACAATCATGGCAAATATTTTTTAAAAAGAATGCTGTGAAGAGCCACAATCACCTATGTTCTGAAGGTACATGGCATTAAAAAAAAATAACTCAACACTGCCACAATTATATCAATGCCTTTTGCATAGTGAATATAAAATATGGAAAAGGAACTCTTTCATAGGTATATCAATCTTTGAGTGAAAGAAAAAAAGAAACTTTTCTTAATAAATAATAAACAACAATATCTTTTTTCCTTTCATAAATTATTCTCTTTCTGTATAACGTTCTTCTCATTGTAAAACAAAAAAAAACATTTTAATTGCACCAACTGATATAACTTTGGATTCTTTGGGTCATAGCTGTGTCGACAAGCACTGCCATTCAGGTAGCCACCCAGATGGTTGCACTGGTCCCTGGTCTACTACAAAGTTCAGCCAATCTAAAGAACTATTTGACACCACCCACACCTGATTATTTCACTGGAAGTAAGTGCACATACATCCATAAATAAATGTCACATATCTATTTACCTACCTACCTACCTTTCTATATGTGTACACGCTCTGCTAGCTAATGTTCTTGAAGGCTGGGTGACCTCTAGTATGTCAAAATATGAGGATGTAAACCTGACAACCTTCAGATTATCTCCCTTCGCAACCTATCATTTAACTGTTTGCATGTCCTAACATTAATGATGACAATTGATAATTGGTGACTGTTCTTGCATTTTGTTATAATCTTGCTTAACAAACTAACAGAATTATAATTAATTTAGGGTTAATTTCTTCAAATATTTTCATGATTAAAAAAACTTTTATTTTAACTTTTTATTTTAATCATATTATAGAAAAGAGAATTGATTGGCTTACATACTTTTGCTACATATTTATATGTAGATAAGTGTTATAAACTTTTCTTTTTTTTTTACTCAGTATACATACTTACATACATAGACATGTATTTTTTGTTGAAGCCAGACCCAGATTAATCTCACTCAAAGCTAGGTGTGTCCTGCCTGACAGGATTCATTGAGACAAGATTTTAAAAGGCCAAATGTTCTTCTTGGTACCCAACACAATCATGGTAGTCCAAGTACCCAAGGCTTTTTATAAAGGCACCATCTCTTGTAATGTTACAATTCAAGGCTGGAGACTCCATCCTGGCTATATATATATATTTATATATATATATATTTGGACAGCAACCTTTCTTTCAAACATCTTTCATTAAATACAGCCAACAAGGAAGATTTAATTAATTTTTTATTAAATTTTTCTAGCATTTTTCCATTTTGTAGGAGTAAGGGAGTGCAAAATTTTTCCATAATTTATATTGTTCCAAGTGCCTTTATATATATATATATATATATATATATATATATATATATATATATATATATATATGTGTTGGCAGTTAGCTCCTAAGAAGCTTGTCCACCCTTTGACAGGTCTTGTTTTTTCGGGTCTGTGGGGTGACATGCCACCTCTCTAGCAAAAAAGTTAGTGGGAGAGCTAACTTAGATACCAATCACCTGCCCATGGTGTAAGTTGTACTGGTTTACGTGTTGCTGCTTGAAATCCAAAAATGAAACTGTGGTTAAGTTTCCTCTTTATTTACAATTGTAATAAGTAAGATATGCTAGGAGTAAATCCAGAATTTTGAGGAGGGTGAGTTCAAACTGAAAAGGTTTTACTTACAGTTTAGTTGTAACATTTTAGTACTAGAACCAACAAAAGAATAAAATAAAAATATTAGAAACCAATGAATAAGAAATTATAAAGAATAAGACGGAAACTATCTCATTTATTATGTGCAAAAGTCTCAGTACTAGAAAATTAGAGACTGAATATGCAAATGAAAATTGTTTTTTTAAGAGAAACTTATATACAAAATTCATTATATATTAATAACAAATTAATACATCAAATGAAAAACAAAATATTTTTGTTTTGTTTTTAAGCCTAATTTATGATTACTTGGCCTTATCTGCCATTTTTTATCTCCAGATTAAAAAAAAATGATTGTGCTTTGCCTGATCAGGTCCGAGTATAGACTCACAGATTCCTCACAGGTTTATGGTCACATCATCTTGAAACTCTGGTTCCCGTATGATCACTGAAGTTAAGCAATATCAGGTCTGGTCAGTACCTATATGGGTGATCATTTGGGAATACCAGGTGCTGTAAGCTTGGATGTGTGGGTGGTGTAATGGAGAAGAGCTCTGAATTGTTAGTTAGAGAGCCAAGTTCCAATTCCTGTTGGGTTAGTTGTATTCACTTATTCACAAATACCATTAGGAAAGGCATGAAACCATATATTCTTCTCCCAGATATAAGTTAATTAGTAAAACTTGTATCTCTAAACCATTATTATCTAAAAAAAAAAATTATTAGAATTTAAAAAATATTTTCTGACTTTAAATAACCTGCAAAAGGTTGATAAGCCATCAAAATGAATCAATAAAAAATCCTTTACCTTGATCTATGCCTGTATATGAAATACAAAGTGTCTTTCTTCAACTCATATTTAGGCAAAATAAATGTGTTTCATCTCCTCATTTCATTCGGGTAAAAAATAAACTTCAGTTTTGATTTATAAAAGTGGATTATTTACTTCTATAAACTTTTATGTAAGAAAAATATTTCCAGAAATTTAACAAGAGTATAGTAGAACCTTTTTATCCGTAGTAGATAAATTCAAAGACCCCGCTGAAGAGAGTGAAATCACTGGATAGTTGAAAACTTTATATACTTGGTATATCTTAAAATTTTCACCAGGACATTAACACTGCATTTTAAAAATGTAATTAAAATTTAAATGTTTTTGTTTTTTTGTAATTAAATTAATTAATTAGAGCATAGAAATTGGAATGTTATAAAGCCAATACATATTTTAATTAACAATATAGGCTTCACTTTAATTGGCAATGTCAGCTGATTTGATGAAGATGGGAGCACAAAGCTGTAAAAATGAAATGAATTAGACAAAAATACATTGGCAATGTTTAATTACTGGAACTGAAAAAAAAATGGCATATCAAAATAGTGGATTTTCTCTTGAAACTGCTATTACTGTATACCACATTGACTTCCTTCGTAATGTTAATGTTTTAAAAAGCTATGTTTAAAATTCTAATAACAACAAAAATATTACACACTATTTAGTTAAATTGTGTACTTACAAGATACATTTTATATTTACAAGAAATATATTAACCAACTACAATGCAATGTTTTTCATTTATCATTTTATAAAGAAATAAGTATGAAAATGATTTTTTTTTTATTCCTAAATTATAAAAATATGTAAACCAACTATACTCAGAATTACTTGGAGAATTTAAATCATCAATTTGTTTTTTTAAAGCACAACCCCCAGTTACTAGAAAATCTGCTCTGATCAGGGGAAAAAAATGAAATAAAACTAAGACATTATTTAATTAATTTTATAATATATATTATGAACAAAAAAAATTTCTCAATGAATAATGAATTTTTACAAGAATTGTTTTCATTTTTTTAAATTTTAATTAGAATAATTATGAAGTTTAAAATCTGTCAAATTTCAGTATTTGTACTGGTTATGTGATATTGTTATTACGTAAAAGCTATTTACTAATCATAAGCTTATTACAATTTGGCAACATCCAATATTTTAAAAAGAATTTGAATTTCTTCTTTTTGTGTGTATGAACATGCGATTCTTGTAAATATAGGCATCCATACACACCATTATCAGAAAATAAGAGCAATAAATTTAAAACCAAAGTACCTAAAATTCAATAAAATATTAAATTACGGAGAATATTTTCCTAAAGTTTTAAAATTACTTTGTAGTTAAAAATGATATAAAAAAAGAGAAGCTTAAGTTATATTCCTCAAGTAATTTTTACAGATATATCCACCGTAGAAAAAAATTAAACTTCCATCAGTCAATCTCTCAATGCCTTAAATAAACAGTTATTGTCGTGTTAAAAAATGCATTTCTGCAATATTTTAAATTTAAAGTAAGTAATAATTGTTTCAAATTAAATTTTAAATCAGCTAATATTCCTCAAATAAACTTTCAGAAAAGTAAAAAAAATTTTTTGAATGGTTTTTTTAAATAAAGAGGATTACATTGTGATGACAGATGGCTAAAAATGGTGCTAAAATCAGCAATTTTTAGTGATTTCAAAACAAAAACTCCCTCCAGTCAAATTAGTTTTGACATAGGGCAAAGTATTTTGCTTGCTTATTTGAAATATTAAATTTAATCTATTAGTTTGAAAGTGAAACTAAAATAGAACCTTCAAGGAAGATTTTTAATTTTTAAACCTTAGGTATCACATTTTTGTAGAAGTACCTAGTTAATAGAAAAGTATTGTATTAAGTGGATAAGGGAGAAGATTATGTTGAAAAATATTTATTGTGTAATATAAATGCTTTTGTCCATCATTAGGCTACAGACTTATTAATGAAATTGTTTTAAGTATGTATTAACATACAGTGGGGTAATGGGTAGCAGTTGGGTATGAGAAATTGGAGAGCTGAGTTCAAATACCAGTTGAGTTTGCAATATTCTCTTACATGCAAATATCATTGGGAAATTTATGAATACATCTCTTCTCCCCAGCTATGGGTAAATAACAGGACAGACTGGGTCTTATAGCCTTGGTTAGCAACCAGTCTATGAGAAGGAAAGCTGAATTCAAACCAGCCTGGACAGGGTTGGGTTCCATCAGGCTATATTAATCAAGACAATTCCACTTCTGTTACAGCTGCAGTACATGTAGAGCTCCTATGGCACTCGTGATTGTGATAGATTAAGGATAAATTTGGCTTTCAACTGATGCTATTAAGTAATATAATTTAAACCTAAAAAAAAAAATGAATATAGAAATCTACAGTAACTATAGAGATCTGCTTAATAATTTTAAAATGCTTTGAAATTCTGTAATTGTTAAAAGGACATTTTTGTATAATTAATTGCGCTCTCTCTGTTATGAACCATTTATTTTTAAACATTTATTGTTAACCCCGTATTTGGGGGTGGGGTAATTATTTCACATTGATATAATTTAAAACAGCCAAGCGATTTTATTCTTAAAATAATTTTTTTTTCTGTGATGGCAATATGAAATGAAAATTTTAATTGTGTCAAGAATAACTAGAATAAGTTAAGCCTTCTCTTGCTCTGTGAGAAGAAATCAAGGTTTTAAAATGCTTTCTGTATTGATTTTGAAATCTGTCTTGTATAATTTAGCTTGCAATAATCCTACAAGATGTCACTTGTTAGGCTTTATTCATTCCCACCTTTCTTTCCTAAGTTATGCAATGTTATACAGTTTCAAAATTACTTTGTATAATTTGAGATTATTATATTATAATTAATATATACAATATAACATATATACACATTATGTATGTATGTATGTATGAATTAGGTGTAGGCATGCGTTTATCTTGCGAGATAAAGGTAGCAACCAACTTGGTCAAAATTCAGTCCTTTGGTGGTGAGACTGAAGTGACCTCGCCAGGTGCAGGTCAAGGTGGCTTGGCTACAGGAGTTGCTGGAAAGTTATCAGTGTTGACAGCCAACCACCATCGGGGCTCCACTCCAGGTTTTCTTTACTTCCATGGCCTTTCCTGTGTTTGGTTGGATATGATCATAAGGGGGTTGTGTATGTATGTGTGTGTGTGTATATATATATATATATATATATATATATATAGGAGGCATGGTGGAATAGGGGATAGTGGTTCGGACTGAGAAATTGGAGAGCTGAGTTTGAATTCCAACAGAATCCATTACATTCACTTATGTGCTAAGATCCTTGGGAAATGTATTAATCCTCTTCTCCCTCCAGCTATGGGTAAATAGCAGGACAGACTGGGTTCTATAGCATTGGATCGCAACTGGTCTAGGAGAAGGACAACTCTGAATTCAAAATCTTCAGAGGGTTGTTTGGGGACCTTATGGCATGTTGTGCACCAGATCTCTGTATTTGGCCCTTTAAAAAGTGTGGTTGTTTCTGCACAAAGTCTTCAACACTGTAATCCAATCATGTGTGCTAGTGTCTGGACCAGTGGTTTTCAACCTTTTTGCTGGAGCGGAACCGCAAGGAAACATTCCAGTGGCTGGAGGAACCCCTGCAATAAATTGTCTTATGCAAAAACAGCTTCAATTATTAAAATAAAATAAAAATACTCATCTTCAGATTTATTTACAAACAAATACAAAGACAAACTGTAAAAATATTGTATACGTACATATGTAATTTTAATCTTGCTTCTACGGTTATTACACATGTTTTAAAAACTTCAGTTTAAAGTTTATTTTCATTAAAAATTCAATGAAAAACTTGAGCCTGATGTTTCTTGCACAAATCTTTAATATTGGGTCGTGTTTTTGACAGATACACACAAAGTTCATCTTCAACACATATCTGTGCAGGAGAATTAAAAATTACTGTTCAATGATAGTACTTGTGTAACTTCTTGCAGAACCCCTGGGCTTTACTGGCGGAACGCTAGGGTTCCGCGGAACCCTGGTTGAAAACCACTGGTCTGGACTAACAGTTACTAGGAACTGAGCTTTTGACCCTTATACATCAATTACGACAGGAGAGTCCACCATATATATATATATATATATATATATATATATATATAAATTTTGATATACCAGAGCAATGTTAGAAAAATAATTACAAAGTGGAAAAAATTTAATATTTACTAACAAAAGTGATAAAAAGAATCTAAATTAAATTGGCTAGATGGTATACCTAAACACATTAAAAATTTTTTCTTAAATTTAAAAGTTTACAATTTCAACATCCCCTCCCCTTTGTATGCATGTGTTGTTGCATCAACATAAATATCACTTTAGTCCCGATGGACAAAATGTGTCACACAAAAAATTTTCCCCACTTTGTATATGTGTTTAGTATTAATCTAGTTATTAAAACACACACACATATATATATATGCTGTGATAACTCCCTTAAGGCATGAAACTGCCAGTTACCAACCTGTTAATGTTAATTTCTATATAAACAATATCTACATTTAGATACACTCTGTCCTTGATATTGAACACCCTTTCCCCACCCCATAAATATAATAAATTTTGAATACACACCAATCCACACATACACACATGGAGTACTAAGAGTTTTTGATTTGCCCAAGAAGCCCTCCCCTCTC